GACATATTTGAATGCAAACATGCTTTCGTGTCCCTTCCTGCTTGCCCACCGAGGGGACACAGTGGAGACAGCTCGCTCCGACTGCGTCTGATCTACCCGGCCTGCCAGGGACGCAATTGCCCCGACAGTCCTTCGTCCAAAGCCCTCAACTCGGAGGCAAACCCGGCGCCGTGCAAGGAAGGGTCCACAAAGAGACCCGCAACGGGCCCCATAGGAGGAAAGCCTCCAGGGGCACAGCCTCGCTGCAGCCGGTAAAATCGGGTAAAACACCGCCTGAAAAAACAGACTGTGAGGATGCCCTCCAATCAGCGCGGGAGACCGAGAAAAATATCAGTACCTCCACCGTTGGGCCTCTTACTCGACGTCCCGGTACATGAAGTACTGGTAGCCGAGCGTGAGGACTTTCCACTCAAGCAAAACACGCAACTCACTTTAACCGATCTGTTTACTGGACGCGCGACCTTGCTGTGACGCGGTCAGTCTCAGCGATTTTGATGGCTCTGAAAGAAAATCTCGGGCCTCAGAACTCCAGTGTAAAAAAACGCTTTCACGCAAAAACACCAAACCCGCACGTAGCTACGACAAAGCATCTCGGATGCGGGTTCTATGCTGGTAAATTCTGAACATAACCACTGCACGGTCGACTCGAAACACAAGGAGACTGGAAAGAAATCAGCAGCGAGCCCTGGTGCTGTCATTACATCTATATATTGCTAAATACATTGCTAATGAAAGACGACATGCATGAGGGAAACGAATTACAGTTGTAAAAGGTGCCGCCATGAAAACAACTGGTTACGTAGTGGCGCCGGATTTTAATTTCTTTGTTGTGAAAAAATACTACACACAAAGGGGAAAACGACACGAGGGTAAAAATGACAAAGAAAACTTGTCCTACCAGCTACAATGTCGAATGTCGTGCAGCGGCAACAACCCAAGCTATAAATCCGGACAGAAAAAAAAAAACAGGCGATCTAGCAGAGCTCGCTAGATTTCATCTCCACTCGAGGCGGAGAGAAAGTCAGAGTGATGGATGGCTCCCTGTGGCGCTGCCAGGTGACCTCGGTCACATGGATCGTGACGTAAGGGGTAAAAGAATCTTGAGGTCATGGATTCTATCTCTCCGTCACTGGCAGAATCACTCATTAATGCCTACAGTTCAAAATAGTCATTTTGACTGACCGGAGTCTATGGTGGGTAATTGAACGTAGTGAATTCAAACACTCAGATTTTGACTGTTTGTCCAGAGTGATAACCTTTCTACCATAAAAAAATCATATGGTATAGCCAGAACTCAAACACAGAGCCTCTGACTGTTTGTCCAGAGTGATAACCTTTCTACTATAGAACATCATATGGTATAGCCAGAACTCAAACACAGAGCCTCTGACTGTTTGTCCAGAGTGATAACCTTTCTACCATAAAACATCATATGGTATTAGCCTGGACACACAGCCTCACAGCCTCTGACTGTTTGTCCAGAGTGATAACATTTCTACTATAGAACATCATATGGTATTAGCCTGGACACACAGCCTCACAGCCTCTGACTGTTTGTCCAGAGTGATAACATTTCTACTATAGAAAATCATATGGTATTAGCCAGGACACAGAGCCTCACAGCCTCTGACTGTTAGTCCAGAGTGATAACTTTTCAACCATAAAAAATCGTATGGTATTAGCCAGAACTGAAACACACAGCCTCTGACTGTTAGTCCAGAATGATAACTTTTCTACTATAGAACATCATATGGTATAGCCAGAACTCAAACACAGAGCTTCTGACTGTTTGTTCAGAGTGATAACCTTTCTACCATAGAAAATAATATGGTATAGCCAGAACTCAAACACACAGCCTCTGACTGTTTGTTCAGAGTGATAACTTTTCTACCATAAAAAATCATATGGTATTAGCCACAACTCAAACACACAGCCTTTGACTGTTTGTCCAGAGTGATAACTTTTCTACCATAAAAAAATCATATGGTATTAGCCAGGACACACAGCCCCACAGCCTCTGACTGTTAGTCCAGAATGATAACTTTTCAACCATAAAAAATCATATGGTATTAGCCAGGACATACAGCCCCACAGCCTCTGACTGTTAGTCCAGAATGATAACTTTTCAACCATAAAAAATCATATGGTATTAGCCAGGACACACAGCCTCACAGCCTCTGACTGTAAGTCCAGAGTGATAATTACAACACAACCTGGTTCCAGGATACAGTACAGTGCAAGCGTAACATTCAGCTTTAAACTAGCTCAGCTAGCTTTCAAAACTGCTACCGGTACATATGTAAGTTGTGTCGTGTGATCTGCATGATATATCTCATATTAGTAACGTAGGTAAACACTACAAAAACTAAGTTGAAATTATTTATGACAATGATACTCATTTGAAAAAAAGTTTTTATGAATAAGCAAAGCCAGCTGACAGCTGGTGTTGGGCATTGGGTGTTGCGCCATGGCCAGTCAATAATGCAAATTCTTGAGTTAATTTAAGGATAATGCACATTTCTGTTGGGAGCAGAAATATTTTTTACAGAATCAAAACTCATTATAACAATCAAACCTTGTATACACCCCTGGTATAATCATAACACAGATTGTCGGTTAACATATTGCCAGAAAACAATGAAACTCACCATTGATATTTGATCACCACGATCATTTTTTAATTGATACTAGTACATACATTTACTAGTAAGATATTCATTCAGTCAGTCAACAAAAGACCTGACCATTTATTCTGTTATGTCTGTTGACTATATGAGACAAATATATTCCCATATATTTCAAAAGTGTAGATTTATCCATTCATTTTGAACAATTGACTACTGTAAAGGGGGTAATTATTCACTGTGTTTTAATTTAGCTTACCCCCGGTATTTCGCTGACTGGAAAAATGCGCTAAATTAAAACACAGTGAATATGTAAAATTTAGCATAGAACACATTATCTAAATGACGAAACCGTGAATTTAAAACCCACTGAATATGCCTGAAATGGTAAATCAGTGAAATTTAAACCCAGTGAAAATTAGTCATTTTACAGTATCATTGTAAAATAAATTGATCTCTCTGAAAACAGTCGCATAGGAAATGTACTTACCAGACACAGGTGTTGAAGCTGATGAAGAAGATGCAGGAGATGAAGACAAAGATGATCTAATATCATTAACCATTCTGCGAGTTAGAGACATATCAATGGGATGATCACTGACATAACACTGACTGGTATCCATTCCAGATGATGCTTCCCGACACGGCAATGTTACTTCATTGCTACAAAGTTCATTCCCAAGTAGACTGCAGTCTTCATTGTGCTCAACAGGAACACTTGTCATTTGCATACCACAGTTGAAAGGTTCATAACCTGGATGTAACTGTTCAGTAGATATAGTTGTACACCTGCAATTATTACTCAGCATAGCTGATAGAATGGGAGTGTTGTTTTCTACATTAGTCACAGTTGAGTAGTTGGCTATGAGTTCATTTTGTTCTATTCCCACATAACTGATACCTGGCTCATTCTGGTTGATATCTGCCACTCTAAAATGTTGACCATTTGTCTCATTATACTGGGTACACTGTAAACCATTTTTACTTAAGTTCAATGGTGTTTCTATTTGTGGTGAAGTATTCCCAATAACCCATTGCTGATTACTCTCTGGTTCAACTACATCAGTATACTGCTGGTGATGGCTGCAAACATTGTCAGCAATGTTGGAAGACATATAATCATTTCCTATCTCGTCATAGCATCTTTCAACTTTAACTTGTATTAGATCTTTCAATAAAATTTCATTTGGAATCATACTGTTATTGAGCACTGTACTATTTACTTGTAAGCATTCAGTTGGCACAACCGCAGAGGGATTATCACCATTTTGTGGCATACCTTGAGACAACTGAACGTCCAAGTGTGGTCCTAGATCAGAGAAATGATTTTCATCACTCTGTTGTACACCATTAGAAATCTGAGCTTCCGAACTGTCATGCTGCCACTCATCATAATAACCATGGTCATTTATTTCAGTTTTTATTCTAATAGTTTTCGCTAAAGAAGAACTTAAATCTATAGGTTGCATTTCCATAATTTTGAGCAAATCATAAAATGTGACTGTTCACCATTTCTTCACTGAAAACTCTCTGGAAAAAAAACATGAAAAACGCATTAATTACAGTTTTGCAATGTCCAGGATTGCATCAGTGCATAATGGTAAATTTAATTTGAATGGCCCATCAATTGCTGAATTACTGAATACAGGTATGTATACAAACATCACTGGAAGTGTTAATCCTACATGTGTCTGCTTTGAAAGAACTTAACCCATGTTCACACATATGCCAAAAAACTGGTTTGGGGAGCAGCTTTATAGCTAAGCTGGCGTTGAAACATGTATGAACAAGATAAGCCAGCACCATGTCTATTTAGTTTAAGACGTCTTAAGGTAGCGGGACTATTATTTGCATACTTGTTTTCATCTTCTAATTGTGACTAAATGACTACAAATAGACCCGGGAAAGTATATATTTTTAGAGTCGCCAGACTTCAAGCTTTTCACAAGTGTATTTTGCATGCCCGTATCTGCATTCTACAACACGTTATTCAATCAAAGTTGAAAAATTACTTT